GATGCCTGACTTGTTGTAGCTGGTACTAAAGTGGCATCTTGTGTTGCAGGAAGGGCTAAATATGGAGCGGAGAGTGATCCACTTGCACTACACAGCATGGTCTAATCATGGTGTTCCTGAGTCCACTGCTTCTCTCAATGCCTTCATAGAGCTGGTCCGAGCACATATGCAGAGTGCAAGTGAGACTGGGCCTACATTGGTACATGGCAGGTAAGTTGCAGGCAGCCCACCTTGCTCTTTTCTTAATCAGCATATGCAAAGCTGGCCAAGAGATCATGAAGGAACTAGCTTAAACCCATTCTTGTTTTCTTGTTTAAGAGCTGGATCAAACATTTAGTAGTAGCATGTGATATGGTTTTCCTTGGATAATATAGATTAGACATTCAGGTAAAGGAACTTCACCGTTAAAGAGAAGGATCTATTCTGGGCAAGCCAGTTTTATAGTATGATGAATGGCATGACCAATGGTATTACCATGCTTGGAAAATAATTTTAAGAAAGTTTTTTTTATCTTGTCAGGAGCGAATTGTCTTGCTTTTTTTAATCATGTCATAAGTGACTTGAGAAACTACAAGTCATTTCTGGTGTGATAGAATTGGCTGTCTGCAGAGACATTGCCAATGGGACACCTGTGGGAGGCTTCTCTCATGTCCCTGCATGGGAAGCTGGAGCTGTCAGACAGGAACTCATTCCATCTCACGGATTTGAACCACCGAACATCAGGTCATCAGTTCATCTGGCACAAGGGTTTAATCCATTGCTTCACCGTGGCTCCAATTTTTAATAGTACTTGTTGCAGGGTTCCAAAAACATACTCTGGCAACTCTATAACTTTCTCTTTTTGTAATCCATCTCCTGTTGGTTTTAGAAAGAGTGGAATTAGTAGGTGGGACAGAATGTGCAGAATGAGAAAGAACAAAACCTTCTAATACAGTCGTTCTCAACCTGTGGGTCCCCAGGTGTTTTGGGTCCCAGAAATCCCAGCCAGTTTGCCAGCTGTTAGGATTTCTGGGAGTTGAAAGCCAAAACATCTGGGGACCTACAGGTTGAGAACCACTGTTCTAATATAACTGGCATCATTAAAAATCCCTGGTTTACTGTTGTTGCAGTGCAGGTGTAGGCCGCACAGGAACTTTCATTGCCCTCGATCGTCTCCTGCAGCAACTGAAGCATGAAAAGGTAGTGGATGTGTTCAATACCATTTACAGCCTGAGGATGAACCGTCATCGGATGATCGAAACCCTGGTAAGAAAAATGGGAATTCCCTCTCAGATCCCCAGTTGTCCTGTCATCAAATAATTCAAGATAAATTTATCCTTTCAAAGGAGTACCTATGACTGTAAATGGGAAATGTAGGAGAATGACAAGGTCCTAGAGTTGCAAGAACCAGTGATGGATCTAGAGACAGAGAGCAAATGAGAGATGCATGTCTGGGATGAGAGAATCCAAGATGTTTCTGCCATAATTCAGTCTCTGAAATCTGAAGACCTGGCCAGTTAGATTTTTCAGGGGTTTGTGGCTTTAAATAATGGCCTCTCCCAGTTGCTGGGGCTGAGACAGTTGAGGGGTCTTCTCTTCAGCAAGATGTGGCAGAAACCGAAGGCATACCACCTTTCGTTTAGGTTTATAGAAGAGATAAAGAGATGTTTTGTGGGTCACTGTGTCTGTTAAACAGGAAACACCGACTCATTGAGTATGCCATAGAATCATAGAAGAGTTGGAAGAGAACACATGGGCCATCTAGTCCAAACTCCTGCCATGCAGGAAAAGCACAATCAGAGTTTCCCTGACAGATGACCATCCAGACTGTTTAAAGGCTTCCAAGGGAGAGCTTCCACCACCATGTGATGGCCAGATGTGACTACAGATACATCTCCCAACAGTTCCCTGGAGTTTTTGTTTCTTGCAACTATTCTGTCTTGGTGACTGGTACTGCTCTTGTCATTTGTGTCTTCTTGATCTCTGGGCTGGCTATGATGAACAACTCTGTGTTGGCTTTGGTTTTCTGTATTATTAGCTTGGTGCAACAGCTCCTGGGCTGGCTGATCACTTTCCATCTGTTTCATCCTTCATCTTGCTGAATTACCTCTCACTGATTTCGACTGGATTGACTACCCTATTTTCTTTGCTTCAAATCCACTTTATTCTTGGCTTACTCACTGATTGTATCACAGGCCAGTTCTACACATTAGGTTTCAATGAACTTCCTCTAGCTTTCTTTTTCCGAAGCTGATGGGAGGTATCACTGTATATTTCTTTATACATTTGGACAAAGGTAAAGCTTGTTACTTGGCATCTTTTCATTGGTATATTGTGTTCCCTTTATGAGCTGAAAATACAATGGGATTTTTGAAGATGCCCAGACACATAGCTAGGCTGATTTGTTGTTCTTTTCATGGAAGAGCACGAAGTAAAGGCTTATTCAGTCACAAAACAAGTAAGTGCTAACTCTGGAAGACAGGACAGAAGCTTCAAATCATAAATTATAGTCAGATGTTATTGTAATTCCATTTCAAAGTGTTGTGATGCCAGTACACACCTTGTGGTGCCAGCACATACCTAATGGCGATTCACTGTGTGCTCTTCTTTTCTAGGGGCAGTACATCTTCCTCCACAGCTGTATTCTAGAGAAGATATCTGAAGAACCACTCCTTGACCAGTCTGGTCTAGAGCTGTGAGTGCCTACTCAGTGTTCTTTTCCACTACAGCATACCTTCATGTGCCTTTTCTTTTACTGCTACCCTACCAAAAACAGCAGTCCCTTCTTCCCATTCCCTTATGTGTTAATGAACAATACTGGTGCAGGATCAGAACCATCAAAAGTATAATATCAAAATGTAGGTGTGTTCTTATGTGTGCAAACAAGTTTCCAAAATTAATGATCTGGAAAGGTCACTAGGAACAATAAATAAGTTCATTGTCACCACTGGTATGCAAACATACCTGCCAGTGAATCACAATAATGGCTTGTTCTATAGTAGGACCCCAATGTCACAGTTTTGGCCCCTTCTTAGTTGTCTTGAGCCCAGGAGAGCCCTTTATTTAACAATAAATAAAGGGCTTGAACTCAGTGGACTCTCCTTTATTGTTAAATGAACTGGTTCCAGTTTGATTTGTGGTTGAATAACCTGTCTTCCAATATTCCCAGATAAAATGGGCATCTGGGAATGTGGCAATTTGCTTTTGCCTGAGTCAACTGGGAAGGGCAGGGTTTCTCCCCTTCTCTCTTATCTGGCCTGCTAAGTCCACTGAGTTCAAACTACTTTTGCATTTTGAACTAAGTTTGCAGCAATAGAGGTAAGCTGAGGACAAAGGGGGAAGTAGGAAGGAGAAACCGGGGTATTTTAAACTCAGCTGAAAAAGTGGAATGGCAAAGGATTAAATTGGATTGTCCCTAAACAATCAAACCCATTGGAAAGTATTGAATAAAGATCATTCCTGCAGGTAAAACAGCCCAGGGGAGCGTGTGTGGAAGAGCTGTTTTCCACCTTCATAAGGGTTGAAAGTCTGTGAGATCCTCAAATATAGTGGCAGAATTGCATGCAGACAGCCGACTGCATTTTCTTCTTTCTGCACTAAGGATGTAGAGATCTGTGCCCTTGTGTTACATAGAGCTATGTATCCAAGTAATGATGAAGCTGTTCTATTATGTTTGCTCAAGGTCACACCCAATACCTCTGAAGAATTTTGTGCAACATCATGCAAAGAATTGCTCCAAAGCCAATGCTGGTTTCCTGAGAGAATATGAGGTAAGAGCAGGACAGATGGTATGCTAAACATAAGAAGATTCTCTTGAAAATCAGTATGACAAATGAATGCTCAGAGAAATTGGGGTGGCGGGAGTCATGCCACATCGCAGCCACAACATTATGAGTTTAGGCCACTTGTTCCCATAAATCCATGATTCCAATTCCCCTCCTAGTAGAGCTAATACTTATAGCAGTGAAGGCCAGCCACAAATACTACTCACATTCATTCACACATAGCTGAAGAGAACTGTCTCATCCAGTCAGGCGATCCCTGCAATACTTATTGTTTTCATTAGCATATTCACTATTTGCATATTCACATTTTGATAAACACATTGCTGCAATATCAGATGGGCTGGTGTTTACATGCAAGTGGCTGTTGCAGATCTAACATCTTAGAGAAAATACATTTCCATATCTTCTTGAAGAAATGTAAACAATTTGCAAATTCAGCTGCACGTCACCAAGTGATAAACATAAATATTCAAGCAATGACCATAGATATTATGAAATGAGTTAAAGAGGTTTCTTGTCTGCTTTATTTCCATCATGGGGAAATGCTCACAGGCTAATTTAGGTTGAAAGCTTGGTTTAAAGTTCCAGTTGAAGCAAGGGAATATGACAGTGTATCCCACACATTGCCTCCCTGTTGTCAACCCTGGCCCCTCTGTACTCTAGTTAATATGCAGTTATTTAGCAGTCTTGGAACAGAAAGAGGCAACCCTATACAATCATGGGACTGCAAGGCCAAGCTGCAATTTCAAACAACCACATGGATCTAGCATTTTATTTATTTATTTATTTATTTAAAACTGAGCCCTTGAGACTACACATTTTTGAACAGATGCCCTTGTCTTTTTCCCCAGATGGAAGAATGTCTGAAGTGAAAAGGTTAAACAGGCCATCTTTTCCTACTGTTCTTCCACTAAAATTGACAGCCCAGAATATACTATTGCTTTTTTAAAAAATGTCATAGGAAAGAACAAGCAGCTGCATGACACTTATGATTTGGTCCTCAAAATCTATGTCCTTGTATTTGAATTTTCCAATAAGGTCATCTCTATATTAGTGGCTGGGTCAATTGTTGAAGCACCTGGCAAATACTACTTGCCTTTTCCAATACACTAAACTGAAGATGAAAAACAGGTGAATGCACAAGCCCTCCACTTCTCCACTTATCCACTGTCCAAATATCCCATTTCTCTTTTTTCTATTCCTTCTCTGCTTTCTTCCAGCAGATGCTCTTGGAAGCTGCAAAAGAGGAAGTCAATTCTGTTTTCCCATTTTCTGGAAGCCAACCCCTTGGACTTGAATCCGGCAAGATCTCTTGTGAGTGCTAGAGTTTGTTGAGGGCTGGGGTGGGGGGAGGAGAGAAGCCTTGGTGATCAGTAGTTATTTACATCTTGATCCTTGCACATAAGAATGAAAAAAATTAAAAGTTTTCACCTTGCTTGGTTGGTTCTTGTACAGCAGTGGTTCCCAACCTTTTTTTGACCAGGGACCACTTTGACCAGGGACCACTCTCCAACATTAGTACCAAAAAGCTTACTAATCAGCATGATTATTGTATCTGTTTAGCATTTTTGGTGCCTGTTGCTCCGAGGGTACTATTGTGTGTGCTTTTTGTCATGGCTTTGGGCCTGTATAATAAACTATTTTGATGGTGGTGATGATGGTCAACTTTATATTCGGTTTGGGGTGCTGATTCAGAAAATTGCATTGAATAGACTACATCAGCTCTAATTTCTGATACAGAGCATACGCCATGGTCAGCGACAGGGAAGGAGTGGCAGGCAGCGAGAAGAGAGTGGAAATAAAATAAATAAAATAAAATAAGTAAAGAGGAAGGAGGCTCGTGGACCCATTTTTTGTCATCGCAGCCCACTGGTGGTCTATGGCCCACAGGTTAAAAATCACTGTTGTATAGTCTTTTTTTAATTTGCATTTTGGTACTTTTAAACTAAAATTTGAGGAAGTTTTAAAAATAAAAACTTCACATTTTAACAAAATGTATTGCTTTTCCAGAGCAAAATATGTTTTGTACTATTATTGGTGGTGGTGGTGGTGGTGGTGATGATGATGATGATGATGAAAAAAATCACAATTTCATCCAGTTTCACAAAAGGAGGAAAATTTCACACTTTTTGTCAATTTCTCAGAGGATGAGAAAATGTGTAAATTCTTAGTGGCCCTACATTGCTGGACATATGTATCAAATAACCACATGTCAAGGAAAGGGTCATAAGACCATCTTTTTAGGATGGTTTCAGTTCTTCCAGGGAAGTTAGTTTCAGAGATTGGTACAAGAAGCCTTCAAGTTGGCACCTTGGTCTTTGACAAGATTTCATTTAGTCTTCTCTGTTGTTCAATATCTATTTGAGAATGCTGAGAAAGGTTACATTGACGTTAGTAAATTATCATAAGGTGCATTTTAGTCACCTCTCTGGAACTGCTGTAATGTACTCTAGCAATAGTTTGAACAATAAAGTTTCTTATTTTGTTCAAGTAAGTTGAGCCACCCTGATGTAACATGCCACATTATATTAGTTATATTCCAGGAATAAACTATACAATGTCCTCTGGTATCCATTTGGGTTTGGTTCCAGGATTCCCCATGGATACCAAAATCTGTGGTTGTACAGGTCCAATTATATACAATGGTATAGTAAAATGTGTCCTTTATGAAAAATGTCAAATCAAGGTTTGCTTTTAGATTTTAAAAATATTTTCAAGTTGTGGGTGTTTGAATCTGAGGATATAGAATAATACATGGATATGGAGGATCAGCTATATGTGGTTAACCCTTAGTGCTCTTTGTAGTTCTTGAAGTGTTATATAGACAGTGAGGCAAGGTGAGGAGCAGTAAATGTATCAGAAAGCTTCATTTTATGAACAAAAGCTATACCTTTGTGGCTATTAGGATAAGAAAGCCTGTGATAAGAACAAGACTACTGAGTAAGAAGGCAGCCAGGCTCCCTTTTTGACGTCAAACTTCCATTATTCTCTTGCCTTAGCCTTACTGTTGCTGCTGCCACAGATTTCCTTGTAAAGTCCTGATATTAGAGAGAGAAGTAATCAGAGCCCATGTCTTAATGAAAGAACTATGCAAGTTACAAAGATAGGGACACACAAGACCTTGAATACATAGTCCTGTGAGGATTAGTGGTGGAGGCTCCTTCTTTGGAAGCTTTTAAACAGAGGCTGGATGGCCATCTGTCAGGGGTGATTTGAATGCAATATTCCTGCTTCTTGGCAGGGGGTTGGACTGGATAGCCCATTAGGTCTCTTCCAACTCTTTGATTCTATGATTCTATGGTGGTAAGTGGAACAGTTTTGAATGCACCAGGCTAAGGTTGTGGATTGCTTGGTGTGAAATCTCACTGTACTAGGCTGAGGTGAGCCTGATTCCCTGTGCCATGCCAGCCTTCCTTTTGACACTAAGATTGTTTTATAGATGACCGTTCTAAAGTGAAGTTCTCACCATTGGATCGGGATCCTTTCTCAGACCTCTCACATGTCTGGTTCATCCCAGTAAGTCCACACTTGAATTACATTTAGCCTTTCTTCTGGTTCTCTCTTGTTTTCTCTCCAAAGGTCTTTGCTGCTTGGCTTGCTACATGCTGCAATCTTATAGACCAGGTCAACTGATCGTACCGAGTTCATGTTTTGCCATGGCAAAGCTCTCATGTTGGCTTTTACAAGTGCATGACAAATTATGTATATTAATTCATAAGACATGTAGACTAAATAAGTGCAACACAGTTGCAATCAGACTGAGAAAACGAACAAATGTCGGCAGTTTCTCCAGGAGTCTGCCTTCAAGTAGTTAGCTGAGTGTTTTTATCAAGATCGTGAATAAGGATATGGGAAATACAGGACTCAAATTTACAAACTGACACAAGGCAAAGATAAATTATTATCAGTTGCCAATATTTTTGAGGACTGAATTAAAAATCAAACTATTGGAGATTTAAGCAGAAATTCACAAATAAAAGACTAAATTGTGAGAGGCTTATTTCTGCACATTCAAAAACTGAGAATGATCTATGAGATAGTTGACTTCTCAACTCTTAGGATTAATAGGTAAATTTTAATGAAAATGTTTTAAGTAATCTATTTATGAATTAGAACTGCGAAATACACTAATTTCATCCTCTGAGTGTTTGCTGAAGATGTAAAATCCGTTCTGCTCAAATAAATAAATAAATAAGCAAATTGCTTAGGCAAGGTTACTTAAGACCAGACCTGATGCATCAGCATGTTTTGATAGTTACCAGCACTCCAAATTAGGAATGTGATGCTTTATAACCCTTTCTGCCTATTTCCATTATTTGTTATAAGCTGCCTTTCCCCACTCAGTCATAGCTAAAGAATAGGTACCAATAAAATGTGAATTTGCGTTGCACTGTAGCCCTGGATCACCTTTTCACACAACACCACACAATGTTCAGATAATCCAATAAGTAAAAGTTTATTAATGAATAAGTATAAAAGGAAAAAGGCAAGTCAAAAAGAAGCAGCAAAAGTATAAAAAGTAATTCCCAGCGAGATTAAGAGTTCATCAGCTTTTGAACTAAGGTGTCAAAAAACAATCCACTGAGACCTGGTTTAACACAAAGCAAAAGAATACTTCAGCCAGGTAGTGTTCAAAAGGTCTACCCCTAAACATGAAAACAGGAACACGAGAAAGGCAAAACCTCCAAGAACATGAAATCATAAACAGGAATCAAACCAGGAATCTTGAAATACAGGAACCAGGAACTTAGGACTTGAAACCGGGAGCTGTTTTCCCTTTTTACAGCATTGTTCTCACTAAAGGCCTGAGAGCCCAGAAACCACTTAAAGGGTCTCAATCCCTCCCATGACATCACTTCGCACACACCTGCTTTTTCTCTCCTTATCTCTAAGTCTCTGAGAAAAGTGAGTTTGTCTTTGTTTCACATTCTGCCTGCTAATTTCAAGGCGGCTTGATCTAGAAAAACCTTTGTCTCCCACATTCTCCTCCGAAGGCCACTTTCTCCTGGGAACGGCCTGGAGATTCAAAAACATCTCCCTCCAGGCGCCTGCTATTTTCCACAGACTTCTTGGAAATTACAGGTTGCAGTCCATTATCCTATTCCTCATGTCCTGAATACTCAGAAAGCTCATCCAATGCTTTCCAGGCTACAAGAAGGATCAAAGTTGGGAAAGCCAAGAAGCTATCAGAGATTAGATCACAGGAAATTTAGAAAAATTTCCATTACCAAACAAATCACTAGCCTGAATAGGGATCCTTTATTATATGTGCTATTGAACACAGCCAGTGCCCACCCCCTGTGTAGGCAGAACTACTCTAGTATCTGAGATCAATGGGAATAGGGTAGACATTGTTATCTACATCCATATCTTAGTGCTGCAATTAAGGTTAATTTTCATAACATTATCCCAAAATTTGAACCAGACTTATCTACTGCCACAGATACTCCTCTTCTTCATCTGCTAGATCTTTTCCTCCTCCCACCTAATTCTACTAATGGTGCATCTTTTCTTTTCTTTTTGGCAGGGATGCAACTCAGTCAAAGATTATATAGCTATTGAAGGACCAGACAAACTTGCCCTGGAGGAATTCTGGGGTCTAATCTGGGAATATGGAGTCCACACCATCATCACACTTCTTTCTGGGCAGATGAATTGTCCAGTAAGACATTTTAAAAAAAATTTAAAATCTCTAGGGCATAAATTGTTTTCTCCTATTAGCATATATGTTTTTCCATTATTTAAAAACTATTTTAAGTAGTTTTAAATTACCTTGTTGTGTGCATTACATTATTTAATAGGTTTTTAGTTTTTTTAATTATTCTGATTGTTTTAACCTTTCTGAACTTTCATTGTCCAGCAGTGTGAACTCTTCAGATATAGGGCAGAATAAAAATATAATATTTGCTTGTTTTAAGTATTTATGTATTGCCTCCCAGTCCACAAGGACAAGGAAGGAAGGGAGGGAAAGAGGGAGGGAGGAAATGTAGAACCACCAAATGTTGAAGGCAGAACATTCTGGGATAGTATGGTACAACAGCACAGAATGACAATAGTTCAATTTGATATTTGACTTTAGATGTTGTCATGCCTTGGTTTTGCATAAGTAGTTCCCATGCAACTGGAACCAGTGTCTTGACAGATGAAGATGTATGGACAGGAACAATAGTACAGAGTTTTCTATCTCAAGTGGTTCAATTTTTCCTGTCCCACATGTGCTTTGGCTTTTACTTGTTATACTAGTGAATGGTGCTATTGAATGAAGCCACATTTATTTATCTTCAAACTGCCACAGTAGTCTAAAAAGTCTGTTTGAGTTTCTTTTAGTGTAGTGTTACCTCCATAAAAATCTTTTTAATGAGTGCTATAGAAATATTCATAAGGAGTATTAGGCTGAAATAAGGAGTATTAGACTGTTCAATTTGCTGTGCTCTGGTATTGTGAAATTCACTCTTGTGCATTCTTCTTCTAAAGGTGACAAAAACTACATCCCTCAGTCATTCATGTGTGGTTCACAAATGATAGCAAGGCTCTTTCTTGAGCATAGTTGTTTGGAGTTATGGTTGTGCCATCAGGCTATTTGGAAACAGATGACTCTGAATTTGGTGTAAGGAACCGTCTTGATCACCTCCTTCTATTGCCAAGGAAAGCACACATGTTGACCATGATTTCTGTGGAGTTCTGATGTGGCAAAATCCCACCCAATTAACTCATGACACCAAAACAAAGTTTGAAAAAAATCTATAAATTTCTCAATTCCCGAACTAACCTATCCAGTTGGTAGCCATAGACCAAAAACTAACCCTTTGCAAGCTGTTCACCAAGCCAGAATTAACGTGCATGTGTGTGATATTTTCATCGCTAACTATAGCCTTCTTTTTTTCTTTCTTTCGGTGTAGGCTCCAGACAATTCATGTTGGCCCTCTGAGGGTGACCCAGTCTGCACAGAGAGGTTGACCATCCAGCAAGGCCCAAAGAAAGTCATTTCAGGATGGCCATGCATTCAGCTCAGACTAAAATATGTACGTAAGTCGGAAATGGAGGGCAAGGTGGCAAACTCCATGGAGCCAAAAACAGATGGTCTACAGAAATCAGCAGAATGGGAGATTACTGAGTGCAGAATTTAAGCAGGAGACTTTATATCAGGGTGGGAATCTTGAAGACTAGGTTTTATGAAGCCTCCCGGACATCTGTACCTGCTCCCATAAAAAATCCTCACAATATTTAACCTCCACACACACCCTGTGGAACATTGGGACATATTTATGGGCATTTCTGTTCCCTTAGGGGGCATTTAAAGGCATTCTGAGGCAATTAAAATAATTTCCCATATATTGAGGGTCTGCCTTGAAGGTCCTCATCCAGAGGCTCTTGCCAGAAAAAAAGGCAAATAGAAACAATGTTTTTATCTAGTCTCCAAAGTCACCTTGTACCTAAAGTTAAAAACTTTTGGCTGACTATTGACAGTTGTTAACTGAGTAGTTCAAAGTCCTGTGGTTTCTGATGGCTGCTTCTATTGTTTTAATAGTTGTGTTGTTCAGAGTGATTGCAAAGCTGTTGTTGATTTCCTTCTTCATACCTGTGGAGTGATATATCCCTGGTCCCCAATTCCTCTCCGCTTCCCACATTCCATAGCAGGGTGGAAGAAGTGAGAATGATGAAACAGACAAGGATGTATGCTGGGGGACTGTAAGCCGAACACCCACTGGAATCAGTTGCACCATGCTTTCCACCCTCTGTGCCCTAGCTCATTAAAGCAATTAATTTAATGGCTAATAAAAACAGAACTGGAGCAGGCAATATCCTAGGGCAAGCAAGATCATCACCATGTTTGTTTGTTAACTGGACCACTTTTTGTCCGTGTATGTAATCAAACTTTCCAGTTGCACAGAATTCTTCATTCACATACCTGCCCTTCCCTTGTTTGATAGACACAATGTTTTATTGTCTTGGCAGGAAAAAAAGGCCAAGGAGAGACTGTTGCAAAGGTTCCAGTTCCCTCTGGCAGAAGGAGAGGAGCTGCCAGACCCTGAAATCCTAGTAGGCTTTCTCACCATGGTCAGACAACTGGTGCCATATCGGAAAAGAACTAGCCCGGTGATCCTGCATTGCAGGTAAGTTTCCCTCCTTGGGCTCTCACCTAGCAGGCCAAGGCTGTGCTCCACATGCGCATGGGATATTCTCAAGTGCTGAGTGAATGTCAGTAAATATAACAGTTTAAGGGGTGTGCTTAGTCTCTGATGTTTCCTACTTCTTTCCTAGCTTGGGCGGTCTGGGCCAGATGGGGATGTTGATTGCCTTGGATACCCTCTTGCAACAGTTGAAAGAAGAGAAAAGTGTGGACATATATGGTGTCGTTTTGCGGCTGGTGAGGAGCTGCTGTCTCATGACTCCAACACTGGTATGTGAATGGCAAGGGAGACAAGACAAGTGGGTTGTGGCCAAGAGGTTGAGGCTGACTGGTGTTGTGCAGTTTCTATCCCCGAAGCCAATGAAACATTTCACAGTGTTCTGGCTGCTTTCCTCCTTAACTGTGTTGATATCTTTCATTGTCATTCATAGTGGCTGCCACTCAGATTCAGATAAAAGAAACAATGAAGCATTTGCTTAGGGTTCAGAGCAAAAATTCCCATCTAGATCAATTGTGCTATACCTTTTGTTTAATTGCCCACTGGCAGGAGGTGGCTAATCACCTTCAAATATGTGATTCATTTGGTTCGAACCCCCGCTAATTCAAATATTTAAAGGCTAATAGCGGTATGTGGTGGGGTTTACTAGCCAGAAATGCCATATAGAAGTTTTCTTCTTCATAGTCTCTGAAAATCACACCTATGGTAGTTTACTGTACCTGCGTAGTCTGCTCGAAAACTTCCAGAAAGCCTGTCAAGCTGTATGGCTGCAGCCTGCCCACCCTCCCCAGAATACATAGCCAGAAGGAGGGACTGTAGCCTCAGTTCTTTTCATTAAAGTCTGCCCTATCAATACAGGGTTAAAGTTGCTGTAAGAGCCCAAGCTCCCCACCTCCCACACATACACATTATTTCTACCGACAATTATCCGATAATTTTCATACAGTGAACAATTTTGGATCAGTTTTCTTTAACCAAAGGTAGACGAATGTTTTCAGACTTTTCCTCTCTGAGGGATACTACTACATATTTTGCAGTAAGAAGTAGGATTGCTAGAGGAAATCATTACTATTGCAATTGAGTTTTAAACAATATAAGTGGGTTAAGTGTGTGCTCCCATAGACCATGTCTAATACTGCTTGGGAATGATTACTGTAGATTCTCTGTGGTGTGCAAAACACTTGTGACATACAAGTGACCTAATGTTTGGCAAGCACTAAGAACAAGTAAAAAATCAAGATGTAGCCAGCAATAAATAAATAAATAAATATCTAGGGAGGAACTGGTTTTCTAAAACTAAATATTGCAGAATAGGCTGCACACACTCTGTGTGCCCTTCCAGACAGGGCCCAAAATACGGGCCCTGTAGGACTTTTACCTGAGGTGTCCAAATGATGCCACAGATAAAAGAGAATTAATTTGTGACAAAGCAGGAAAACCTTGCTTTGTATGGAATTAATTAGGTACCCCATTAGACCCAGACATTCCTGAAAGGCTCACATCTAATGGGCGCTGTGGGGTCTGACCCCCCCCCCCCAGGTAATTCTGGGACTATGGAGAGGTCAGTTCCCACACCCATCTTGCTGCTTCAGGCTTCCAAAAGCTCAGAGAAGCGAGGAGGACACCCATCCCCTTCCCAAGCCCACCCTTCCCAAAGAATTTAAAATAAGAGGAAATGTACCAGGTAGCCATGACGCCTCTCCAGCAAGCCTCCTGGTATGCTGAAATGATGCACCAGGGGGAGGGAGGGCAGAAGGAAAATCACCACCGCCCCACCCCCGGTCTCCTGGTGCATCATTTCTATGCACCTGGAGGCCTACTGTAGAGGCCTCATGGCTGCCCGGTAAGTTTTCTCTTATTTTAAGAGCTTTTTGGGGAGTGGGCTCAGTGGCCCAATGCCCTCCCAGAAGTTATCGGGAGGGCATGGGGATACTAATGGGGAAAGCATGTTGTTTGGGGGCACACATGGGGATTAAACCCACTTTGGTGCAGGTTTCTTTAACTCACTCCAAAGAGGGTTTAAGCCCTGCCTGGAAGCACCCTGAGTTTTAATTTTAAAAGGTGATAAAATCCATGCAGACTGTGCATGGTTATTTAAGGGGGGATCAGATAATCAGATAAATCAGATAATCAGATAAATATTTACTTATTTTTAAAACGTGAAATTCTGTTCATCTGGCTTTATTCTCAAGTGAATATGCAGAGGACTGCAGCTTTAGGTTATTTTTTTCCCACCCAGCTGCTTTTCCTAGAAGTTGTTATCATCATATACTGTGCCACTAGAGGGCGCCATCCACATGACCTTCTCGTTCCCAGGATGCCTATCACAGAAATACTCACAAATTTACACATGGGAGATACTTGCATACGGTGGTCATGCTGTGGCGGTTAACAATGCTGATATTGTCTGTAATCATAGAACAAATACCTGTATTCATGATATGCCTGAGCATCTCTAGCTGTGGTGTTGAGAAACTAATTATTGAAAATTCCTAGGCCGAATTATGACGACAATTCTTGGATATCTGCCGTTTCTTTTTCTCAGCACAATCTAAAACATTACAATTAACAACAGGATATAGAAGTGGAGTTCTCTTTATAAGTGGGTTTTCATGTTTCTTTCTTTCTCTTTTCGTTTTAGGATAGGTACATTTATCTGTATGACTGCATTCGTGACACTATCATCCAGAAACAAATTTGAGCCTTGGTCTCCACTCTTTGCTTGATGACTGATGGAATGAAGAACCCGGCAGAGCTATGAGCATAGACTGAAATGGGTCTATGTTAGGGATGAGTAATCACTCTCGGTTTGTGGAGAAGATAAAACTACGGGAGTCAATAGTAGTGAACTGCCTTTGATGTTCCTTTGATGTTCTTCAGAAGGAACTTACGTCTATTGAAAGCAAACTCCTCTGCCTCAACCCAGAGGGTTTCATGGAAGAACAATTTGCCATAATTCCAGATGTCCTGTTTACAAAAAAATAAGAAGAAGAAATGGGTGCCTTCATCTTTCAGAGTTTATTCAGCTGCTTTGGAACTTGAGAACTTGGTAGAAGTTAGGACGTTGCCTTGGAACTTGAGAGTCTGAAGGTTTGCCACTGATTAACATAAATGATGGACAGCCAAACAGTGGAATCACAATGTGTTATCTTGATTTGGTGTGTCTTCAAGTCTCTTCTGACTTACGGTAACCTTATCACAGGGCTTTCCTGATCAAGATTTGTTAAGAGGGGGATTCCCATTGCCCTCCTCTGAAGCTGAAAAAGTGTGATATACCCAAAGTCCCCCAGTGCCAGGCATGTAGCCGGGGGGGGGGGGGGGGCTCGGGGGGCTTCAGCCCCCCCCCCCCCGAAATTTTCATGGTGGTTCGCGAAAAGGCCTTACTGGTGCATTATTTAAACTGTTATGTTTATTCATATCATGATCTGATCACCATACTCAATATATCCCATATGCATGGGGGTATTGGGGTAATGATACAAAAGGTTTTGCTAGGCTAGACCCTCTTTCACTCAGACTCAGCCCCCCCCCCCGAAACTCAGCCCCCCCGAACCCCCCCTGAAAAAAAATCAGCCCCCCCCCCCCCCGAAACGAAATCCTGGCTACGGGCCTGCCCAGTGCATTTCCAATGCCAACTGAGAGTTCAAAATTTAGTCTCCCAGAGTCTTACTCCAATGACTACATTATGCTGACTCTCAAGATATGTCATACATTACTTAAATCTATGTCACAAAAAAGATTTAAGATATTTTTCACAGTTCTTGGTGATTAATGTGAAAAAGAAGGAAAGCAAAGAAATTCAGCAAGGGGAACAGACCAGTCACAGTAATATCAGGAATACCATAAAGTTTATTTCTTTCTCTCCCTTATAGTATCCCTGATAATAGCATCTCTGCACTAGCAGAGTTACATAGTTATGTGTACACTGACATAGTCTACAGTCCTGGCATATATTTAGAATCCATATGCAGAATGAGACTTAGTCTGCATCCTGTTTTCATTTAACTGGTATGCTAAATATAGGATGGCATTGAATAAATAGATGTACCTTCTTCCCAAAACCACAGCTAAAAGAGGTATTGCTAGCTTTGCCTTAGGAGAGTGGAAGAGTAACGACTTAACAAGAGACAAATAAAAAGGTTTATTTAGGGGGAAAACTGAAATTTTAGACAATAATGCATTGTATGTTGAATGGGAAAACATATTTAGCAAGAACAGAATAATTGTAGCAGCCTAATGAAATTGATCCACATAGTTAAAGCAATGGTATTCCCCGTAGTAACCTATGGATGCAAGAGCTGGACCATGAGGAAGGCTGAGCAAAGGAAGATAGACGCTTTTGAACTGTGGTGCTGGAGGAAAATTCTGAGAATGCCTTGGACCACCAGAAGATCCAACCAGTCCATAATCCAGGAAATAATGCCCAATTGTTCATTGGAGGGAAGGATATTAGAGGCAAAGATGAAGTACTTTGACCACATCATGAGAAGACAGGAAAGCTTGGAGAAGGTAATGATGCTGGGGGAAATTGAAGAAAAAAGGAAGAGGAGCCCACCAAGGGCAAGATGGATGGATGGTATCCGTAAGTGACTGGCTTGACGTTGAAGGAGCTGGGGGTGACCACAGCTGACAAGGAGCTCTGGTGTGGGCTGGCCCATGTGTCATGAAGAGTCGGAAGTGACTGAACGAATAAACAACAACAACAATGTTGAATGGGAAAGCATATTCAACAAGAACAGAAGAATTGTAACAGCCTAATGAAATAAGTAGGAAACTGATTTAAGTAACCAGAGTGGGCAATTAAGTGATGGCTGTTTACATAAAGGTTTGTTTAATAGATCAATTAATAAAAGATAGGTGTGTCTAGAAATGAGATGGCTAGGATACCAGATAAGAACGGATGTGACTTTTTGGCTTTGCTTATGATTTTCCCCAGAACTTACAAATGGAGTTTAAAATATTGAGATGGCTTTATCCAGAATGTTCATAAAAGCAATTCCTTGATTCATTTTTCATGTCCAGCCAGAACTCTCCATTCCCAAGGAAAGTCAAGACTGTCAGTAACACACTTTTCTTAACTTCCACTCCTTACCCCATGGATTATGATGCAAATACAGCTATACCTCAGTTAACAAAGTTGATGTTTTTCTTGGCATTACCTTTTTAACAAAAAAATGGTAACAAAGCCAGGAATAGCATGGAGTCAGACTCCAGTAAGGAGCCATTCAATATATTCTAGCAGACTTTCTTTTTAAAAAACGGACAAGATACACATGTGAAATTAAAGAAAACAAAATTATTTTGGACCTTCTAAAGACCACCTGAAGACATCTTCTTAAATGCATTCAGGGATAACTTTTTTGTTTCACTAGCTTCCACTTTTCTTATGATTTTCATTTTCATGACCAAGATTTTATATGCTTTCTATGCTTTTTAAACATGCTGGAAGTGATACAGGCTTCTCTCCTCTTCTCTCTTTTTGCTGTTCATGGATGCTAGAAGCAGGTACTATTTACCTTGTCTATTATGGGCAAGAACACAGCTACAAAATGATTAGCTGGAGTAGAATTCTGTATCTTTCCAGCCCTCTTTTCACTATCCTCCCAATCCCAATGCTACTGAAAAACCTTCAACTAGACAAAGAAACAGGTGGGAAGAAGGAGTTTACTTGGGCACAAAAATGCTGTTAAAAGAAGCTTCTTGGTCAGAGGCTTTGTTAACTGAGGTATGCCTACACTTGAAAGTAACTCTCATTGCCTTAGTGGGACATAGACCTGCATAACACACATAACAAGCCACTGCAAATCTCTGTTTGCCTCCAGATGGGTCTAATGATCCCAAATATTTTAGAAAATTTAGCTTTTAGTCTCATCAGACCCAGTTTTTTTTGTTTATCATTGGAAGTTACATTTTCAAAATGAGGCTACAGGGATAGGTTGAACAAATGGATTGTTATAAATGGGAAACATTGCTCCAGTATCTCTGAAACAGAGAAAAGGGGGAAGGGAGCAGTTTTGAAATAATAAATTATTGTTTTTATAAAATGAGATTTTGATATTGTATCTTTTTTGTCTGTTTCGGGTGATCTTTCTTTTGCTTCTATGGGAGATCTCAGTTATAAAGTGTGAGTGTTCCATTAGAGCAGTCATTCCCAACCTTTTTTTGCCCAGGGACCACTTGACCAGGGACCACTTTGAACAGGGTCCAACATTTGAACCCTCTCCAACATTGGTACTAAAAGGAGCAGGGTTGGTTAGCTCTGTGGAAAGAAACAAAGATAAAATAAAATAAAAAGTAAAGAAGTTCACAGAGTGGATTTTTGTTCTCGTGGTCTGCTGCTGGACCGTGGCCCACAGGTTGAGAACCAGTGACTTAGAGGTTGGTTCTACAGTGAGGTTATTACTGAGATCGTTCTTCAAAAGAACAAGCAGGCAAAGAAAAGAGCTTGGGAGCAAGGGAGCGGGTAGAGCTAATTAATTGCAATTGCATCATAACTTAGGTTTGAGTGCATACTTCATGGAGAAGTTTCTGAGTTCAATCCCTGGTATTTCCAGATACAGCCAGAAAAAAAATCTTGTCTGAAACCCTGAGAAGTTCCTGCTGGTCAAAATTGGCCAAAGCTCTGGATTTGGTATATAGTAGCTTCCTATGGATTTGAATGGTAAGGAGGGGTAGGACAGATTTACATGGAGCAATCAGCATGTTAGGAATGGCCCTTGATCCTTTCAGCTTCAAATCAGAACAAGTACATGCTGAGGCTGTTACGTCCTATCATTTGCATAATGCCATCTATGAACTTACCACTTCGCACACWACAGCTTTGCTATGTCCTTGCACCAATGAGCTTATAATGCAAACACCATTTGGGTGTTTCTCCCTSTATGGGCCTGGCTGAGTTTTAAGATTGTAAGAAAATTGCTTTCTCTTGATCCTCTCACCAGAGAGCCTTTTCCGTGGCTTTTCCTGAGTTATAGGATTTCCTACCAAGAAAATTGTGGTCAGCCCCCCCCCCCCTTTCTTTTGCTGGCACCAGGGAATGAATCACATGACTTTTCTTCATTCCCCAAACCTATGGTTATATGATGCGCCCATTTAAAGTGTCTGTACACAGGAAGTGCACTATAATAACCTCACCAGTTGTCACCAGTTGTCCTTGAGTTGGAAGAGACCTCATGAGCCATCCAGTCCAACCCCCTGCCAAGCAGGAAAATTGCATTCAAAGCACCCATAACAGAAGGCCATCCAGCCTCTGTTTAAAAGCCTCCAAAGTAGGAGCCTTCACCACACTACGTGATCACCACATAATCTGCATAGTTACTCAGAATGAAGGACTCAGCTTGTGAGAGAGAAAGGGAGTGGAGGAGAGCGACTGAGTTCATAAAGGGATACAATTGAGTGTCCTTTGGGTTTTTGAAAGAATCCACAATGTGTGTGGTTTAGTCCACTGCTTGCCAATGAACCACCCAAGCCATCTTGGGCCATGGAAGAGACTGCTGTGTATTTGTATTGCCATGTTTAACTCCTGGAATTGCTCCAAGAGTCATTGACTGGGACTGTCTGTGGCATTTCAAACTATGGATGGTCCTGCTGGGAGCATCGGGTCACAGACGTGAGCCATCTCTCTTTGGTCTTGCAAATGGCTCCCTTGGGACCTTCTCAAACCACATCTAACGTAAGCACATAAACAAAGCCCCATGCCTCTGGCTCCCTTCTCTCCTTATCTGTGGCTTTGCTGTCAAACCTGAAGGCAGAAGAAACCCTAAAATAGCAATGAAAAGAAGCCAGAGCTTCTCCCCCTGTGTGTTTGGGACACTGAGAACCCAGTATCTCCAGCCAAGCCACAAAAATGTGAGAAACAACATTTGCAACCAGTGCCCACAGAAAAAAACAGAAACAGTAAATTTCTCCCCAGGGGGGAGAAAGAGCATTCAATCTATATGTAAAACAAGGACCCAGCATGTGCAGGGGAGCTGCATCCAAAATGCCACGAGCTAAACAGTATCTCAGAAGGCAGCTGAGGACACCAGCAGCAGGTCCCAGAGAAGCTTGTCACTAGCAGAAAACCCCCAGAGTCTTGGTGTCTTGTTTGGATGCCCACCACAAATGTTTCCCACCTCAGGGATGCCATAGGTTAGACAATGTCATCCCATTCGGCTTTCCACAGCAGTGAAGACACACACAGAAGAACATATGTGCACAAACCACAGCAAATGTCTTCTTGGTTAGCAAATGCCACCCATTCTTTATATCAGTGTTGTGAGAAATCAGAGGGACAGAAAGGCAAAAG